CACATATAGCTATACATACATGCATATGTATACATACATATATAGATAGAAATACATGTATGTATGCATATAGATACATGTATGTATGCATCTATGTGTGCCTCCTTGTCATTTTTTGGCTATTTCAAATTTTTTTTTTAATGAAGATGGATATATCATAGACATGATCAGACTTGCTTGATGAATGCAGTTCTCAAATGTAGGTTCTCTTGAACTTCATGGATTTGCTAGAAACAGATTATGGAGTGTTGACAATGACCCCCCTCCCTTCCCCACTAATCCCACAAATAGAGTTTTCATTGACTTGATCTTCAAGTCCACTGAAGATGATTTGAAGACATGGCCTCACAGGTGACCTTAATTGCACCCCTTTTTGTCTACTAGACATTCTTATATATAACATATTCTTTTCAATTCAGGCCTGTGTCACACTTGCTAGGAATGTTGGAGAGATGCGAACAGAAACAGAGTTGCTTCCCCAATGTTGGGAGCAAGTGAGGATAAAAATATTTCATTTTATTGTTTTATAGTTTTGTGATTTATTTATTTATTTTTATTTAATTTTATGCAGATTAGTCACATGTATGAGGAATGCAGGCTGCTTGTAGCTCAATCATGTGGGGAGCTTGCAGGATTTGTGAGGCCAGAGATTCGAGACTCCCTCATCCTATCTATTGTGCAACAGCTCATAGAGGATTCCGCCACTGTAGTTCGTGAGGCTGCTGCAAGAAATCTGGATCTGCTGCTTCCACTCTTCCCAAATATGGATAAATATATCAAGGTCAGCATCAGCCTCACTAAATATGATTCCAGAGGCTATCATGGAGAAACAAAGCTTTCTGACTTGACAGGGTTTCCATTTCCTACAATGTAAGCTATAACATGGTCTAAGGGAATGTCATGTCACCATTTTCCCATGATCATAATATGCCGAGTGACTTACAAGAAAAATACAAAACGAAACTGTAAAAAAATAAAATAAAATTATGGTACTCTGTTTTCCCAATATATTTTCTTGTTTATTTTTTATGTTTTTAGGTGGAGGAAATGATGTTCCATTTAGTTTGTGATCCATCGGGAGCAGTTGTGGATACAACTATTAAAGAGTTAGTTCCTGCTGTGCTCAAGTGGGGTAACAAATTGGATCATATTCTACGAGTTTTGATTTCTCACATGTTGAGCTCTGTAGAGTCACACTTCCATGTTTTAGGTGAAAGAGAACGATGGACTGTTGATGTGTTGCTTCGGTTACTGATGCAATTGCTTCCAATTGTACACCAAATAGCTATCGACACTTGTTCATATCCCTCTTTTTCAGAATTTACAGGAACATTTTTTTCACTTCAATTGCCTCAAAAATATTCAGAGTAAGTTCAGTTCCAACACCCCTCTCCTGTTTATTTAAAATCATTAACACCCACTTTAACTTTTCTAAATTATATTTATTTATTTTTTGACAGTGGACGTTTAGATTGGCCTACATTTGAGTGGCTTCATGATGATTGCTTTCCCAGTCTGATTCAGATTCTCTCTCTCTTACCACAAAAGGAAGATAGTTTAAGAAAACGCATCTCAAGTGTACAAAATATTTCCAACTTTATTATATTTACTTTTTTACCCTTACTCATATCTTAAACAAACCCTTATTCATCATTATTTCATTATCTCAGTTTTTACTAGCAGTTTCCACAAGATTTGGGGAGGATTATTTAACACATATAATCCTTCCTCTATTCTTAGTGGCTGTTGGCGATAATGCTGACTTGTCTTCCTTCCGCTCAACATCCCAACCTAAAATTAAAGGTACAAACTTATTTTCCCCTTTTTTTTACAAAATATTCCATACTAAATATTTTTATTTTTTCAGCTCGAAGACCAATAATTGCTATGGATGCAAGAATTGCCACCTTGTGTGTCCTACCAGTTCTATTAGCAGGTGTCCTTGGATTCCCTAACAAGCATGAACTATTAACTGAATACTTAAGGAATCTCTTGATCCAAAGTGCTGACAAGACAACCCAGTCAGCAATCCACAGTGCTGACGTGTACAACTCTGTCCGTTTCCTTTGGTGCGTTTTCCTCCATTTTTTTTAAATCAAAATTACTTCTGGAATTGGATTAGATTACATTATTCTGTTTTGCAGCTTGTTTGAAGAACACCATAATCTGGTTTTCAATATCTTATGGGAGATAAGGAAGGTAGATCCGATTTGGGACATGGAGGCTGATGAAGGAGACAATTACACACATATTCCAGTAAGAAACAGAGTTGGATGATTATTTGTTAGTTTTATAGGAATGTATAACCCATGTTAGCAACGTATTATTTTTGTTTAACATTTGAATGATTATTTGTATGACATATTATAATTTGTGCAATTTATTTTATTTTTTGTGTATGAAATTGTATTTTATATTATGCAATGGATTGTATTTTTTGTATATGGTATTTTATTTCTATTATGAGACATTAAATGCAAATTTAATTTAAAAATTAATAAATATATAAATATTTTTTTAAACATTTAAATTTACGATACGCAAAAATGTGTGTCATCTTTGTTTATGACATGGCCTTTCTTGACAGGGGTTTTAATGATACGCATTGCGTGTCATAAATGTGCGTCGTAAATGCGCGCCGTCTATAGACGATGCGCAAAAGCGTGTCATCTCTCGTTATGACAGGGCCTTCCTTGACACGCATTTGCGCGTCGTCTGAGCGTTTTATGACACGCATTGTGCGTCGTAAAAGGCTGTTTTTCTAGTAGTGCACGTGAGCAAGGAACACATATTTCTTCTTTTGTAGACACTTTTGCGCCTTGATACTCGAGATAAGACGAAGGTTTGCGTCGGGTTTATCTCCGTAGATTATTAGGGTTTCATGGTTAAGAAGATGAAGGCGAACGGCCTTCTCGTGACACATAATATCGGCCTGATGGGGGCTTAACCAATCCATGCCGATGATCACATCAAAACTCCTAACATTTATAGGCATTAAGTTTATTTGGAAGGTCTGATTGTTTAGAGTTAGGGTACACCCCACATAGATATCCTTAGTTGATTCAGTCTTCCCATTAGCCATTTCCACCGTGAAGGCTTCATTAAGCTTTTGGGGTTGTTGTTTTAGTAAGTTTTTGAAGTTATTACTAACAAATCTTCGTTCCGCCCCGCTATCAAATAAGATGAATGCATATGAGTCGTTAAGTAGAAATGTACCAGTGACAACGGCTGGGTCCTGCACTGCTTCACCCTGACCCATTGCCAGTACTCTCCCTGCTGCTCCTGTCCCTTGGTTGTTCGCGTTGGGGCAGTTTTGCCTGATATGCCCAGTTTTTTCACATCCGTAACAGGTATAGCTAGCTCCAGCATTGGTGTTGTTATTGTTGTTGTTGTTGTTGTTGTTGTTGTTGTTGTTGTTGTTTGTCATCTGGTTCTGTGGAAGCTGAGTCATACAATACTTTGCTGTATGGCCCTTCCGGTTGCACCTTGCGCAACTCATCTCTCTGCACTCCCCGTGATGATGGAAGTTGCACTTGCCACATGGGGAGATTTCCCGAGTACTGCTTGGAAGCATTCGGTGTGGATGAGACTGGAGCATGTGGTGTGGCAGTAGCTTGTGTTGCAGCATGGACAGACACCGTTTGTTGCTTCTTAGACGAT